TAGATAAAAGAACAAGGCTTGGAAATCGTTTTCTAAGTGGTGATAACTACTGACTGAGATTTCATAAATCAGTCATCAGTCTTGTGATGTAATGTATAGATCTTGACTATCACATGCTTTACTAACATTACCTCATTTTATAAAGAAAACTGCTACAAATTGTTCTTGTAGAAAGGAGCTTCATGCTGTGCTACAACTATTTTGAAGCTATTCTCACCATAGAGCTATCCTATGTTATCATTTGTTTCCCCTTTTCTTGTTCATTTATATTCTACAAAATACTTAACTCCATTCACACCAAAGCTTAAACAAAGTTGTTTATTAAAACAAAGTTAAAATTGTTTGCTTTATAATAGCTGCTTATAACTGACTAAGTTTCTTGCAAATTAACAGAATGGTTGAAGGTCATTGTTTTGAATCCTGTGTGAGAATCTGAGGTCCAATTTTCTGTGTCTGTTTTTCATTTTAATACATGTTTTGTTGGTGTGAATGCCGGTAGCGTGTGAATGGGGCATGAGTGTTTGCATAAGTAGTCACTCGCCATTGAGTTGAATTTGCGTTTTTCAAAAAATGTCAAAACTGAATGAGCCCTTTAAAGGGCAAATGCAGTTTGAGCTTTTTGAAAAACACATGAGTGCAAATAAAATCCACATTGCGTGAGAAAAGTCATATGATTACTTTTTAATAATATACATGAAATAATTTACATGTACTTTCCTGCCTTTGTATGCTTTAATTTTGCAACATACTTAGTTGTTTCGCTTTTATTTTAGCATCTCAAAATCAAGGAACTGAATTGTTTATCCCTAGTTATGGACAGGTGTATCCTTTCTCTTTCAATGCGTGTCCATAGCTGTCCTAATAATTAATTTTCAGACCATTTTGGGCTCATAGTTGCCCACTTGTTTGTTTTTATTACTCATGAGTCTTGGTGTAGAAGGACTCGACTAAGCAGTTTGTAGGAGTTGGCATGCTAGAAACTCTCAATTCCTTTGTCTTTGTACAATAGCTTCAGACATGAAATCAATATATGGTCCTGTTTACAACGTTTATATTTGGTTTTTGTTTTCAATTGTTCAATAGTATTTTGTCGTAACAGAACTAAATTTTGCTTTGTATGCCAGCTATTTTTCCACTCGTCAAGTTACCTGCCTGGCTTCCCACGGGGTGACCAGCAGATATTGGCACCTGATTGGTTGTGATATATTTCTATTGTTTATTAGCTAATCACATTTTTTCATTATCTGAGAAAATTTTTTTTTATTCTTTTTGCATAATTTTTCCTCATTTTTGCACTGTGTTTACTAAAATTTGCACTGCTCTAAGACAATCACTTTCAACAAATTGTTCCATGTATATTATTATCTTTCACAATAAATATCATCTTCTGTCATCAATAATTATTATATCAGTACCTGCTGAATGACTTTGCTCTTGTTCACCGAGCAGAGAGCATTCTATGCTACATTCAACTTGGACGACCTCACTTTCATGTTCTTCCAAGGCTAAGAAGATAAGATTTTAAAAATCTTTAGTTTATAATAATAATCAATGATATTTTCATCGCGAAATTCAATATTTCCCCCATCTCACAATAATGAATACACACACCTTATTCGATGGTTTAGCATATAATACGTGCAGATATTTTGCGAGTTGCGTAGTATTTTTCTGAGCCCCACAGGGGCGAGGAAAAATACGAGCAATGAACAAAATGCCCACTCGAATAATTATATGCTAAACCATCAAATAAAAGGTTTATTATTCCACCACCAAAAAATTGTTCTTTTGTGAAAGGCTTCTATTTTTTTGGTAAGAGTATTAAAAAACATCCTGATTCCCTCTGTGAGAATAACAATAACAATGAGCTAAATGTTTGTGCGTATTATATGGTAAACTATTGAATGAGAGGTTAATTATTCTACCTACTGCAAAAAAATGTTATTTTGGCTTCTATTTTCTATTTCCCGCTGCTCGTCAGTAAAATTTTGCCTCCTTTCTCTGGCTCTCTGCCGCTCTCGCTCTCGTTGAGCTTGGCTTGCTTGCCGCCTACTTTCTCGTTTTCTTTGCCTCTCTCTATCTCTATATTCCAAACTAGAAAACATAGTTGATAAAATATGTAGAAAATACGAATGTAAAAGCAATTTCCGTCAACCGATACGAAAAATTTCTCTTGTTCTGAGTTGATTTCGCTGGGCTAAGTTGTTTTTACTTCACAAAACGCAGGTGGCCATTTGTTTTCGCGCCAAAACAAAACTTATTATCCACACAGACTACCCAAAATTCATTGGTATGCCTGCGGTGCGGACGGACGGCGGGCGGTCGCTGTACGGTCACGTGATTACCAAATTTTCAGGGATGGGTAGATTCCCTTAGAGATGGGGCTCCGCCCACGCACGCTTTGCGCGCACGTGGAGCTCCGCTAATAATCAAGTAAAAAGAAAACTTGAATCCGGTATGTGTTAATTTTTATTTCCTTAATTGTACAGACTTGTAAAATGTATTGCATCTATGAAAATCTCAGCTGCAGTATCTTCTACGCCTTCGGTGACACCGGCAGCAAAAGCAGCTGAGTGGACGATGGGGTGGAGGCCTTCGGACTGTAGCTCTGGGGAGGAGGATGTTGTTGAAAGCATGGCAGAGTCCGCCATATCAGAATTCAATGCCACCATGGGGAAGCTTAATGAGGTTTCTACTACTAGACAGGTCAGTCCCTTAACGTTTCAAAGAAGTGTGCATCGATAAGGCTACTGAAGGCTGTAGCCTCGTGTGTGAGATTATAGCGCCAAAGGCTGCACAGGAGCTACTTCAGTCCTGTTGTATTCCTGATACAAAGGCAGACTATGAGGATCTTGTACCACTGATGCAAGCCTACAACGCTGCTAAGACAAGAAATGTGAAGACTCAAAATCTGAGCCTTTATGCCTATAGATATCCAGCAAGGACGCTTCAGAGGATCCACGAACCATTTGCGAAGCTAACATCATGGCAAATCAAACGCGCTAGAGCTCACGCAAGGGAATGCAGTCCAGGCTCCTTAGTAGAAAAGCCGCCTTCTCATAGGGTTCGACTTCTCCCAGCGAAACTTGACCATTTCTTAGACTTTGTTAACCGGCCATACTTTTATCAAGATGTTGCATTTGGTACAAGGAAACTGAAACTTAAAAGCGGCGAGAAACTCACAATGCCAAACATCATACGTAAAGTAACAAGAGCAACAATGATCAGGCAATATCTGAAGTTCTGTGAAGAAGAACAATACGAACCCCTAAGTCGCGTGAGTCTATTTCATGTTCTAGAAGTACGGGAGGCCTCACAACAGAAATCCTTGAATGGTTTAGACAACACAGCTGCCGATGGGTCAGCGGCGTTTGAGCACCTACAACAAATAGTGGAGGAGCTTGGTCATATTGGCCTGGAGAAGAGCTTGGCAGATGATATAAGTAGATCTCTTCGTGACGGTAAGAAGTATTTGAAAACAGAATATCAGAAGATTTGCAAAGATAATGAGAGCTCATGTCCAGATCATTGCCGTAAGTTGGGTCTAAGTGACCCAAATGATCCAAATTTTCAAGAGAAATGTACACATGAACATACTCTTAGCTGCCCTCAATGTGATGACATCACTTCCTGTTTGCATAAATTGCAACAAACCGTCAATGACAGTGAAAGCTTACGCTTTTACAGCAAAGAACAGAAAGAAGACTTCCTGTATGACATCGAGAAAGCTTTGGATGCTATTGTACAGTGGAAAGCCCACATTATGAGAACTGTAAACCAGGAATGTGCGAAACAAGATATACTGGCAGAGCTTGATCAGAATTCGTGCCTTCTAGTAATGGATTGGGCTATGAAGTTCTTGCAGCTTCGTTACAGAGAAAAACAAACTGATTGGTATGGCAAGAGAGGGCTCAGCTGGCACATCACTAGTGTCGTGACCAAAGACATGTCCAGCGCAACTGAGGTTATCTCTTACACGCACCTTTTTGATCAGTGTACACAGGATTGGTTCTCAGTAGCTTCAATTCTAGAGGACCTTCTGACAAAACTAAAAGCCAGAAATCCTCTCATCCAAAGAGCATATTTAAAGTCAGATGAGGCTGGTTGTTATCATAACAGCTCCTTGATTGCTGCTGTAAGAGATATCGCCAAGAGAGTTGGTGTTACAGTACATAGTTATCATTACTCACAGCCACAGTCTGGAAAGGATATTTGTGATCGTATCCTGTGTCCACTGAAGTCCTCCATCCGTATGTACTGCAACGAAGGTCATGATGTTTTAACTGCTGCAGACATGAGAGATGCCTTAATACAACACCCGGTAAAAGGAACATCTGCCGCGGTCTGTGTAGTCAACGAGTCGAGAAAGACTCTTTCGGTAAAAAAGATGGAGCAGTTCAGCAGCTTTCATAACTTTGAATATGAAGCTGATGGTCTTAGAGTGTGGAAATGCTATGGTATAGGCGATGGAAAGTACATTCCATATGAAATGCTTTATGTCACCAATCAGGTTCCAACCGCTCTCCAAACAGTGGAATCCCAAGAATTCTATGTACCACTTGGAAAACGAGAGGTAAAACCCAGTTCAGAAGCTAGCAAGAGTACTGAGAGTAGTACACCACTGTTTGAATGTTCAAAGCTCGGTTGCAACGAGGCCTTTGAATCCTTTGCGCAGTTAGAGCTGCATCTTGATGTCGGTAAACATACTGCCAGCAGGTTAAACCAGTATGATGTCATCAGAAGGGACTGGGCACTGAAATTCTCATCTGTAGATAACCCTGCTGACACCGAAATGTATTCAGTGCCTTCCGGGGGACCGCCAACGTTTTCAGAAGTCACTTCAAGCAAATCATCTCTGCAAACAGGTTGGGCCTTAAGCAAACCGAGAAGTAGCGTTAGATTTTCGCCAAAGGTCAAAGAATACCTAACAGCACGTTTCACAATAGGAGAAAGAACAGGGCGTAAGGCTGACCCCGGCCAGGTTGCAGCAGACATGCGAAATGCAAAAAATGAGTCTAATGAACGCCTGTTTACTAGATCTGAGTGGCTTTCAAAGAACCAAGTTCAGAGCTTTTTTTCGCGGATGGCAGCAGCACGTCGTAAAGAGCAGGGTGTTGTCGGCTTGTCAACGGAAAAGGAGGAAGACATACAGTGCTTGCAGGAATATTCAGAAAGAGAGGATCTGATTAACACAGTAAATGAAGAAATTAACGTCGCACATCCTATCTGTTTTGACAGTTATGACCTGTGTGAGCGTTATCATAGCAACACGCTCCAAGAATTCAATGTAGCCATGCTTAGGAGTATCTGCAACCATTTTGAGATTCCTGTGAAATCGAGGGACAAAAAGAAATTCCTCTTAGACAAACTGACAGTCATGATAAGTGAATGCGAGTGTGTGTCTCACTAAAGCAATGTAAAGCGTTTCCTTAAATTCCTACCTGTTGTGTTGTGCTGTCGTAAGCAGGGTTACGTAAGTCAAATTACAGGGAACTTAGCAAAAGCAGTATTTTTACACATGGTGACGTTATTTCCGGCCGCCGTTCAACCCTGCCCGTCCGTTCAAACAAGTTTATACGGCAAGTTGTCATACCCTATTTCCCTGCTCTTTACTTTTTTGAAATGGGAAAAAAGTGAAATAATAAACATTAATGTTATATGAAAAATTATATAAATTATTATCTGAAGAAATGACTCAACAATTTTCAATTTACAAGACATGTTTTGGAAACTTATTCTATCTTCAGTTGTAGAAGTTCGTAACAATTTAAATATCTTCAGTTGTAGAAGTAGTTACAATAGGCCATTCACAGTTGAGGGCTTTGTGTCCAAGCCTTTGAGTGAACGTGAGGCTGAGGTTGACATTGTCTTGATAGAAACATCCTCTCTTTTCTAATGTAAATTTTGCTTAAAAACACTTGTTAGCATAAAACCACACGATTTACATATCGCGACGCCGCCACTGGTTACCGTGTGAAATGTGAAACCAGTGGTGGCGTCGCAAAATGTCGGCTGTTTTCTCAGGCTAGCCATTTTCAAGGTATTCTGCAATAGTCAACGGCAAAATTATAAAGTATAATGTTTTGTGAGTTGAGGAAGCTTGGCAGGCGATAGTCGTTACAAATTAGTGAAAAACAGCACCCAAGTGAACACGTGATTTACTGTATTTTGAATAACTCCTAACAACCAACTTCTTTAACTTATCATTTCTTGTAACACTTAAAAACGTCGTTCTTTTATACGTTATGGGTTTATTTACAGTATCAGTTGTTAAAACAATATTTTTGTAAGCACGCCTTTCGCGTAATTAAATTCCGTTGATAAATGCACTATTCTGGGTGGTGAATTCCATGCCTTGTTTTCCTAGTTCCAGGATTCCATATTTCCGCTAGGAATCCTATTTCGGTCAAAACACTACGTGACCTTTTTATTATAGAGAGAGTTCCAAGGAACTGTTATCTGAATTTGAAGCAATCGAATCCTTATTTACGTTTCCAAAAACGAACGTCGATTTGTTTCTTTTCTGATCCTCAAGCAAACTAGCTATCAACGGATGTTTTACCGGCTAATTACCGAGAAACGTTAGACGTGACCACGGATTTGCGCCTGTTTCAGTATCCGAGCCGTTTTGGAATCTGCAAGGAATTCTACTTTAGGCGAACGACAGCTATTTTCAAGGCAGTTTTAACCGGATTCTGATGAAATCAAGATTCCTTCGGATCAGAATATGGCTCAGTTTGTAGGTAAGCCGTCCTTTTCATAAAATTTTCTTGAGATGGATTCATTATTTCACACAGTATTAATGGACGACAAATCGCTCAATGTTGACATGTTCGTTAATTCAAACCGTCATAACTTTTGAAATACTGAAATCATACACGGATTCTTGTAAATTCTTGTCAATTAAGGAGCAATCTTTTCGGCTCTATAGTCTAGAATAATCAACTTTGTCCCAAAAAGTAGAAATATGCTTCTAAACTAAGGCCATTTTTGGCTGTCTGTTCGATGGCATTTTATAGGGGTCATATTTTGGTTGATTTCATCTTTCTGGGTATGTTTACGGAGAAATACTTAATATCTAGAAAAACTGAAGACATTTATCAGTAAATAGGTGTTAAATTTATTTCGAGATGTTGCGAATAAAAAATTTTACAGCGCTCCAAAAAATGCCCAATTTTTAATTTTTGGGCCCCGCAATATGGCCATGGCGGGCAAAAAAAATTTGTGCTTCTTAGCGCGGCCAGAAAATAACTTTGAATCAAGGCAAACCTATTTTAGTTATAGTCCCAATAAAGGCTTTCATCCACCAGAGATTCAGGAAAAATTATTTTTCACGCGCAATTGAGTGGGCGGTTTTTACTAAGACTGCCTCTTAAATGTCAACATTATTGGCTGAACTTGTTAAATAAGGGTGCAGACTTTGTCCAAGTGTATTGTTACGACTTCAGTAAAGCTTTCAATTTTGTTTCCCATCAGATTGTCTGTAATAAGCTCAAGTCATATAATATCGACCCTCATATTCTTAATTGGACAATTAACTTTCTGAGTGGTCATAAACAGAGAGTTGAAGTCGATGGTTTTTACCACAAATTGACAGAGGCGGTCACGCTCCAAGTCCAATTTTTATGCTCTGATTGGTCAAAATTTCACAGGTGAGTTTATGTGGAAAAATTATGCAGCATCTTGAAAGTAGTTTACTTTGACAGCTGAAGCTGACAGAGTTTTGTGTCAACTTGTGATGTTTTTAACTGTCTTTTTCTTCTGGAGGTACAAAATGAAATACAGCTGCTATCAAGAGTCTTCTGTTATTCATGGCTGGTTTGTTTACTGGGTTTTGGTTGAGAAATGCATCGCTTCTCAAAATTCGGTAATTCGATTTCGGATGGCATCGTTTTCGTTTTTCACCTTGCTTAATGCGTAAGAGGGTTTAAAAGTCTTAAGCAACTGTGGCCTCCCTTGATAGCTTTCAGGAACTGAATCTCGAATGGTAAGCCTAAGTAATTATTGTATTTGATGTTTGTGTTTCATGAAGTCTTGCACAGTTCACGCTGACAGTTTATGCGGCAAGTTTATGCACGTTTGCAGGATTTGAGTCAATGATCTGACCTAGTATCTATGGTTGCTGAAATGTAGCAAAATTCGATAAAAATTATTTTCATTCGATAAAAATATATTTGCATTCGATAAAAATATATTTGCATTCGATAAAAATTATTTTCATTCGATAAAAATATATTTTCATTCGATAAAAATATTCTTATGCGATAAAAATATATTTTCATTAGATAAAATATATATTTCCATTCGATAAAATATATTTTCATTTGACACAAAAAAAATGTTTTTATTCAATAAAAATAATTTTCATTTGATATAATGTTTTCATTCGATAAAATATATTGCCATTCAATGGAATATTTTCATAGGGTAAAAATATTTTCATTCGATAAAAAATATATTTTTATCCCAGAATGTCACGTGGTACTTGTTAGGCCTGGTCGCATAGGACCGATTCGCGCCAAAAATGGTTCGCCTGCCCTAGCCCGGTCTGTTTTGCTGTCGCACTCTGTCGCAGCTTTTTCACAGCTTCACTCAGCTTCACGAAAATGGATTTGAACCGGTCAATAATTCGTTCCGAGGTGAGACAAGCGTTGGAGGAGTATATGCAGTCGAATACCAATAGATCTGCAAATGCAGGGGAAACAGGAAGACTGGAAGGTAGTTGTAAATTAATTTTTTTCAGTGTACCGCCTTGCTTATGCTTTCTTTAAATGTATGAACAGACGAGAGCAGATCTCAAATCGAATTATTTTAGCCGTAAACTTGTTATTTACAGCTTCCCCACAGAACACAAGTACAAGTACAACTAGCCAACGGCTAAACTCTCAAATTGGACAGGTTGTAAACCGTGCCAGGGATATTTTAAGAAGCAATCGATCGTCATTCACACGAAATGCCAGCACGTCGTTTCAGAATGGCGCCACTAGCGCGTATCCTAAAAGACCCCGATTGTCGGGGGCTTCACGTTATGGAAATGTTCTTCCCAAGGATGTGGTTAAAACGGTTGTGCTCTTGGAAAATTCTGGTTCTTCAAACGAATATCCTTTAAAGAATGATACGATAATGTGCTATGCTGAAGTGGATTTCGTCACCACAGATGACGAACGTCTCGTGCGAAATAAAATCGTCGGAGCGTTGAAGACACAAATACCTGACATTGCACCGGATGATTTTGAATTTGTTAAAGTCCTCGGCAAAAGAGTCTCTACTCCTGTTGTAGCTGATGGCTACAACTGGGATTTTAAGCACGTTAAAAACTTATGTGGTCAAGGCAAATTGTATGTCCGTCTTAACAAACAGCAAGAACAGGAACTGGAAAACATTTCAGACACATTTGAAGCCATCCCTGTGGAAAGGCCTAGTACTATTCTTGCAGATAATAGGGGCGTGTCGTCTGTGAAAGAACCTGCCTGTCAATCTGAGACAGATGACGAGGTATTTACATGTATTTATGTGATGTCAAAAGTTATTTTGAGCTGTTAGTATTGTCTTACTCTAAAATTCTTAGCCAGACATTCTATTACATGCTACCAAAAAACACAAACAAACAAACAAACAAAACGTTATCACACTGCAATGCGGCCAAAATGAGATATTTTGTATGTTTTCATCAAACTGCCAGATCAACTGTGTCAGATAAATTTGGAAATAGGGCAACATCACTAGGACATAACCGAGGCAAATTTTACCAGTCATATATGAAATAACCCTTGTAATGAGAATATTGCTTCATTTTCTTTTTACCAATGTTTTCAGAATGGCATAAGATGTCTTCGTCAGATGTTTCCACAACACGATGAGGACTATCTAAAAAGAAATATTCAGTGGTTCTTTAGACCTTCCAGATGCAATTGATGAAGTTTTGAAGAGTGAAAAGGAGCAAGGTTAAAAATGTTTACTTTATTTAAAGAAGTGTGGGTTTTGCAAAAAGAAGGTAGATGACCTTTGGAAAAATGATATGCCTATTACTGTGTTACAGTTTGATTTTTACGGTTTGATTTTTAAGAAATACAATCTCGTTCCAAGAGCCCACGTGTCTTTTGATCAGCACGAAGACAAAGAGCTCTGGAATAATCGATTTCTAGTCCAAGGTTTTAGGACTTTTTCACAGCGCATGCGTTGGCGCTGACCAAAAGACATGTGGGCTCTGTGAGTGAGATTGTAAGAAATACGCATGAACACTTAAATCAGTTGAAATGTTATCTTTCATTTTGAGAAATGAGGGTGGTTACACACTTTGACTGGGTTTGATATAGGAGTTTCCAGGGTATTACCACATACATGCCCCACAGTATCACCATAAAGCTAAGTGATGATACACAGGATGGAAGAAAGCTGAAACATTATTTG